TGGCGTTTATACTGTTTTCCTCGCCGCGCTGCATTACTCCACGCACAGCACCAGATCAAACAGATGAGTAACTTGGGTAATGATCATTACCAGATCAAACTCGGATATGTTCGGCCATTTACCAGATCAAACTCTGATATGTTCGGCCATTTTCAGTATGATTTATACCAACTGACACAGTGGAAATGTTGATCAGGAAAGCTGGACAAAAGATTAGTGCATGAGATAGTATAGCACAAACCACAGAATGTCACTTCACACAGGCAGCAGAATCTAGAATGATTCAAGGGGGTCACTCCCAACCTACCTGTGTCAACTTGACTCGGGGACATCAGACTGACTCCTAACTCATGATCACCTGTGTCAACTTCACATTTGGTTGTCAGGATCAGACTAGAAAAGCAAACGTTACATAAGAATGTCCCATGTAATTTACAGATCCAGTTCTGTGGCGGAGACATATTCAGTGAAGGGGACAACCCAGCCCTAAGGAGTGTCCCTCAGTCTTTAAACTAGTTTCCTGTAGCACTCCCTTCTGAGTCACAAACCCAGCCCCCATAGTGTCCCCTCAGTATTAGACCCAACTCCCAGGGGCCTCTCATTTGTCATAAATCTGGTGTTTCCAAGGGTGCTCCCACCGCCACCAAGTCATAATCCCAGTCCCATTTCATCAAATTTTATTGACAAGATGTCATAGTCAATTGGATAGAATAACAGGCAAAGCATATTTAAATTCTCTCCGTCAAATGGCCAAAGTGGAATAAACAATGAGACATAATATTTTAGACATGTTGGAAATGAAAAAAATAATACAATAATTCATATCAACACAAGGCTAAGAGGGAAGTAACTCATGAAGGAAACATCTCACACACCTCATACAAACTTACACACACATACAAGTACATGTACAAATACATTTATTTCAGCATATATATACACTATCATAGACAGATATTGGCAGACTTAACCAAAAGTCCATGTCCCATGAATGTTTCTTCAGTCCTACACCAGAACCCCAGGGGCTTTACCCTCAGCCATAACCACGTCCCTCAGGGGCACCCCATCAGTCATATAAACAGCCTCCAGGGGACGCTTTCTAGGTCAGAAACCCAACCCTCAGAGACACATCTTCTGTATCAGCCTCCAGGAGCACATGCACCCTCTGTCATAAACCCTGAGCCCCCTGGAGCTCAACCTCTGTCATAAACCCTGAGCCCCCTGGAGCTCACCCTCTGTCATAAACCCTGAGCCCCCTGGAGCTCACCCTCTGTCATAAACCCTGAGCCCCCTGGAGCACACCCTCTGTCATAAACCCTGAGCCCCCTGGAGCACACCCTCTGTCATAAACCCTGAGCCCCCTGGAGCACACCCTCTGTCATAAACCAAATTCCCAGGAACCACAGTCATATATAGAGTGTAATACTGAGACTACAGCTGCTCCACACGGTTTGTCATCAAATGTATTTCATTGTTATGTAAGTTACTATCTAAATGTATTTATCATGTGTGTCCAGCGTGATGATTTGGGTATTGATTGGGAGTGTTAAGCATGTCACACTAGAACACATATCTGGCTGTGGAGAGTTGATGGAGGAGGGATGATAGCGGTATACATCCTACACAAGGCTCAACTTGACATTCACGTACCCTGATGGTGCATTACATCATTTTAAAAGGGCTTAACATTTTAAGAGAAGTGGAACAAATATATATTTTTTTTTACCTTTTTACATGTCATTAATTATGAATGGTATTCACAGTAAAGACATGAACTTTAATATGCTGAAGTCATACTGGTTTGTAATCCTTTGCTCATGTGCCACAGAACAAAAATAATGACAATGTACATGTATTTGTAAAATTTCCATAACATACCATACCTACATGGCTGTATCGGATTGTCTGTCTGACTCCGAGAATGTAGAACTGTTTTGATGATGTTTGCATAGCATTAACCTAGACAGGGCTACACAACCAACTTGTTTATACTACTCTCCACAAATTCCCTATATGTTGTTGTTTAATCTAAATTCCATCGCAGATGTAGCTAGTGACAATCAGGAATAGAGAGGTGGCCACTTTTGAAAACAATAGCAGCTCTTACTATGTCCATTACTGTAGGGGGATGTGTTAAACACCTGGCTTTAACAACCTCTGTCACCAATAAGAAACAACCACAGATACATGTCACATATCACCAAAAAAAACAAGGGCAACATTTCACATGTCACCTACAGATACCAGGGCAACATTTCACATGTCACCTACAGATATCAGGGCAACATGTCACATGTCACCTACAGATACCAGGACAACATGTCACATGACACTAACAGATACCAGGGCAACATGTCACATGTCACCTACAGATACCAGGACAACATGTCACATGTCACCAACAGATACCAGGGCAACATTTCACATGACACCAACAGATACCAGGGTAACATTTCACCTGTAGACCCCTCCCCATGTTGACAGCAAATTCAACGAAACAGCAATCTGATTGGATGTCAGATACCTGGGCACATGTCACCTACAGATACTAGCAGGGTCACATGTCACCTACAGATACCAGCAAGGTCACATGTCACCTACAGATACCAGGGCAACATGTCACCTACAGAAACCAGGGCAACATGTCACCTACAGCTACCAGGGCAACATGTCACATGTCAACAACAGATACCAGGGCAACATGTCAGATGTCACCTAAAGATACCAGGGCAACATGTCACCTGCAGATACCAGGGCAACATGTCACATACAGATACTAGGGCAAAATGTCACCTACAGATACCAGGGCCACATGTCACCTACAGATACCAGGGCCACATGTCACCTACAGATACTAGCAGGGTCACATGTCACCTACAGATACCAGGGCAACATGTCACATGTCATCAACAGATACCAAAGCAACATGTAACATGTCACCTACAGATACCAGGGCAACATGTCACATGTCACCTACAGATACCAAAGCAACATGTAACATGTCACCTACAGATACCAGGGCAACATGTTACTTTGCAAACATGTCATATCTGGGTACAGATTGAAGTTAGAGCTGATATATGGTCATATGCTGAAAGTGCATGAAGTGTGTTATGCTGTCGGACTTTAAACATTTACTGTAGACTGTATGTCTGATAATATTGGGAGAGGGATGAGTATTCGAAGGGTTGAATAACAGAATGCAACCTACTTCAAATTCTCTTGAGATTTAGACAATGATTTGAAAGAGACATATGGTATATTATACTGCAGTAGCCATATAAATAGCTGCTGTCAAACTGGCCTGAATCAACTATCACTTAAATGTCTGGATAAACCTGCTATGTGCATGTTAGACTGCAATAACAGTGGCCAGCATGCGACTACGCTCCTGTGAGGATGTCCCTCTAAGACTGTGTGTCCAGGAGGACGACGAGTAAGCTAGGCGGCCCTCGCTGTAACGTGACAAGGACTGGTAACCTAGGTGGCCCTCCCTATAACGTGTCAAGGACCACTAACATAGTCGCCCTTCCATATTATGTGTCGCGCACAGCTCTTACAGCGTCCTTTATGACAGACGTGCAGGGTTCACGCAGCATGTCAAATTTTATGTTTGTTTCTGGTCCAACTCGGCAAACGGTAAAATAACTTTATCTTAACCTATCGGCTTGTAAAGAAATATAAAGAACATACAAACAAGCAGTCTTTTTATATACAAATATATATATTGTCAGCTCGAAGTTCTTGAAAAGCATGCTTTTTTTGTCAGCAACATGCTTTTTAAAGAAAACACTGTAGAATTGTCATCTTCTGTGTCTCCAAGCCGTTCACATGTCATCTTCTGTTTCTCTAAGCCGTTCACATGTCATCTTCTGTGTCTCCAAGCCGTTCACATGTCATCTTCTGTGTCTCCAAGCCGTTCACATGTCATCTTCTATTTCTCTAAGCCGTTCACATGTCATCTTCTGTGTCTCCAAGCCGTTCACATGTCATCTTCTGTGTCTCCAAGCCGTTCACATGTCATCTTCTGTGTCTCCAAGCCGTTCACATGTCATCTTCTGTGTCTCCAAGCCGTTCACATGTCATCTTCTGTGTCTCCAAGCCGTTCACATGTCATCTTCTGTGTCTCCAAGCCGTTCACATGTCATCTTCTGTGTCTCCAAGCCGTTCACATGTCATCTTCTGTGTCTCCAAGCCGTTCACATGTCATCTTCTGTGTCTCCAAGCCGTTCACATGTCATCTTCTGTGTCTCCAAGCCGTTCACATGTCATCTTCTGTGTCTCCAAGCCGTTCACATGTCATCTTCTGTGTCTCCAAGCCGTTCACATGTCATCTTCTGTGTCTCCAAGCCGTTCACATGTCATCTTCTGTGTCTCCAAGCCGTTCACATGTCATCTTCTGTGTCTCCAAGCCGTTCACATGTCATCTTCTGTGTCTCCAAGCCGTTCACATGTCATCTTCTGTGTCTCCAAGCCGTTCACATGTCATCTTCTGTGTCTCCAAGCCATTCACATGTCATCTTCTGTGTCTCCAAGCCGTTCACATGTCATCTTCTGTGTCTCCAAGCCGTTTACATGTCATCTTCTGTCTCAAAGCCATGAATAAGCTTGGACATGTCAGCTATGTTTTAAAAAAAAAAACACAAAACAAATTGTGTCATCTACTCAGGGAGTGGGTTTTGATTTTATTGATGCAGCTTAGGGTCACCAAAATATCATTATGATTGTCTTTCCGAGGACGTTTGGCTAATGGCTAGGTTTTGAAGTGAGCTGCAAGTATGTTTTACAAAATATTCTAAAAGAAGTTGACTTGTTCTAGACCCATACATATTAACTGTTGCATTTTGAGTGAAGTATTTATGTAACATTTGCTTCCCATTTGTGTAGCACTTGCATCTCAGTGAATATGTATGTATTAATAAACTTCAATAGTGACTTCCATATCACTTGATTTGTATATTATTCAGTATCTAACAAATAGTTTCCTTTGTGTTTTTCAGCATCTAAACAGAACAATGGGAAATAAATCTTCAAGCAAGAAGCTGCCCAAGGAGGATTTGGAATTCTTGGTAAACAACACAAAATTCTCGAAAACAGAGATAAAAGACTGGTACCGTGGATTCATGGTAAGCATATGTATCATATAGCAGACATGTGTAGCTGTCTAGATTATACATGTTTGTCTCCCTGCAACAAAATAGCAGAAGCAAGACTGAAGGTGTTGCTTTTCCGGCGACGTCAACATTAAGTTTTTGCGTTTAAGTTAGTTTCACTGAAAGTATTAGTGCTAGACCAACAAAACTTGGACCATAGATGCATCTTAGGTAGTACATCTCAACCCACGCATCAAGTGCTGGATGTGGCCTACTTTTCTTGGTCCATTGACTTTGTCGGCATCTCCATCAACATAAAGTTTTTGCGTTTAAGTTAGTTTCAATCTGTACTAAGCAAATAGACGGCCCATTATAATGATTTCAAACTTACAATGAACAGGTTATCGTCGATCTGCTGGTCTATCCAATTTCATTTCAATTCATTCATAAAAGTCCCTAACATACAGTATATAAATCAAGGACACAATAAGATACCTTTCAGGAATGTTATCATGTATTAACCTGGAATATACCTTTGTTATGGTTAATGTAATGGGACTTTAATAGTGTTTATGGAAACTAAAATTGTGTTTATTTTAAAATTTGTTTGCTTCACTTCACTGTACCATCTGAACCTGTGTGGTTTGCTTATGTAGATGTAGATGGAATTTCTGAGATCACCTTAACCACAATTAATATAACGTCATGTGTTGTTAATTTAAAATGCTTCAATCTAACTCTTATGAAAATAGGCCTGGAGAAGGAGTTTGGTTATGCGGTTGATATACATCCTATGTTCTTCTGTGAGAGTGATAAGGGGTTGGGGACATCCTTTGATCTACTGTGAGAGTGATAAGGAGTTGGGGACATCCTTTGTTCTACTGTGAGAGTGATAAGGAGTTGGGGACATCCTATGTTCTTGTGTGAGGGTGATTAAGAGTTGGGGACATCCTATGTTCTTATGTGAGGGTGATAAGGAGTTGGGGACATCCTATGTTCTTATGTGAGGGTGATAGGAGTTGGGGACATCCTATGTTCCTGTGTGAGAGTGATAAGGAGTTGGGGAAATCCTATGTTCTACTGTGAGAGCAATAAGGAGTTGGGCACATCATATTTTCCTGTGTGAGAGCGATAAGAAGTTGGAGACATCCTATGTTCCTGTGTGAAGGTGATTAAGAGTTGGGGACATCCTATGTTCCTGTGTGAAGGTGATTAAGAGTTGGGGACATCCTATGTTCCTGTGTGAGAGCGATAAGGAGTTGGAGACATCCTATGTTCTACTGTGAGAGTGATGAGGGGTTGGGGACATCCTATGTTCCTGTGTGAGATTGATAAGGAGTTAGGGAAATCCTATGATCTTCTGTGAGGGTGATAAGGAGTTGGGACATCCTATGTTCTTGTGTGAAGGTGATTAAGAGTTGGGGACAGCCTATGTTCCTGTGTGAGAGTGATAAGGAGTTGGGGACATCCTATGTTCCTGTGTGAAGGTGATTAAGAGTTGGGGACAGCCTATGTTCCTGTGTGAGAGTGATAAGGAGTTTGGGACATCCTATGTTCCTGTGTGAGTGTGATTAGAAGTTGAGGAAATCCTATGTTCTTGTGTGAGGGTGATAAGGAGTTGGGGACATCCTATGTTTTTCTGTGTGGGTGACAAGAAGTTGGGGACATCCTTTGATCTACTGTGAGGGTGATAAGGAGTTGGGGACATCCTTTGTTCTACTGTGAGGGTGATAAGGGGTTGGGGACATCATATATTCTTGTGTGAGGGTGATAAGGAGTTGGGGACATCCTATGTTCTACTGTGAGGGTGATAAGGAATTAGGGACATCCTATGATCTTCCGTGAGGGTGATTAGGAATTAGGGACATCCTATGATCTTCCGTGAGGGTGATTAGGAATTAGGGACATCCTATGTTCTATTGTGAGGGTTATTAGGAGTTGGGGGAGTCATAAGTTCAGTTATAGGGGTGATAAGGAGTTGGGAGGGATGTTAGTTCCGTTATGGGGGTGATAAGTAGTTGGGGTAGTCTTAAGATCTTGTGTGGGAGTTTAGGGAGTTGTATGTTACTATTTTGGGTTGATAAGGAGTTTGGGGGAGTCCTTTATGGATTTTTAGGGGTGGTAAGGACTTGGGAGAGCCCTATATTTAGTGGTTATGAGATGGGGAGGCCTGTGTTCTTGTGTGGGATGCTATGGAGTTGAGGGAATCATTTGCCTTTGAGTGAATGCACTGTAACATTTCCACAAACGATTTTAAAGTAGAAATAATGAACATGATTACCTTTGTTTCACCACTTTAAAGCCCGAAGCTCCAGACTTGTATTTGCACTATGACCTTACCTAGCTACAAACCTTTTCTTTAGTTATTGGCAAATTTCTACAAATGGCAACTTGAATATTATTGCGAGATTAGATGTTACCATGGTTACGGTCTCCAAGCCCTAACCGAGTTGTCATTTGAAACTCGACAGCTGACATCCTGTATCTGGGTTAATGGAATCAAACAGAAGAACTTTTGTACACCTACAGTTCTCCTGGGGATCTTAAAAGGAGAGAATTAAATAAAAAGTGGGTATAGTGTTGCCATGGTGATTTCACATGTCATCTGAATTAGCCAGTGAGGAGTCTTCTTTTGCTACAGGGAGTGAACATCTAAATGAAAATCTAAACATATGGAAATCAGTCAATTGAAAAATGCCTGAAACGATTTTGGTGAAAATAAATTTTAAAACATGGATCACACCACAAAAGATTGTAAGCGCTGATGTTACAGATGAAATTGTATCTAGTTACCAGGATGTTCATCCAGTACCTCCAAACAGTAGGTGGACATGCTTACCTTCTGACCTCTAGACGGATGCTCTAACCCACTAAACCCTGAACCTTTAAAATCTACACAGAAACTTGTATGTTCTGAACCCTGGATGTCTGAACTCGAGGCAGACTTCGTAACCCACTCATTCCAAGGCGTCTGAACTCTCTATGGACCCTCTACCCAGCTGAACCCATACTTTGTCTTTTAGACTAGAATGTCAGAACTGTGATGTAGCATGAAGAACAATATAGACTGATCGCTGGCAACCAGCATGCAGCGTAACCCTTTCACCACTGTAGACCATAATGGACTCCTCCAGATCATTGTATGGTAAAGTCTATTAAAGTTACCTAGGGGTGAAAGGGTTAACTGTAGAGCATGTGTCAAGAATGTTGAGGCCCTAGCTGGGTTTGAATCCCAGACTGGGTGTGCTACTGTAATAGTATGTACAACGTATATATATGTCATGATCATTTGTCTTATTCATCACCTGTTGTATGTTACAGAAAGACTGTCCGGACGGATTATTATGTAAGAGTAAATTCTTGGATGTGTACTCAACATTCTTTCCCACCGGCACTCCGGACACGTTTTGTGAACATGTGTTCCGATCGTTTGACAAAGACAACAGTGGCAAGATAGATTTCAAGGAATTTCTACTGGCGATTAACATTACATCTGGCGGAAACCCAGAGGATAAATTAAACTGGGCCTTTAATATGTACGATATAGATGGCAATGGATCTATTGAAAAGAAAGAAATGGTAGAAATTATTGCGGTAAGTATTTTGTGGAAAAAGAAAGAAACAGGAATGTGACTGTTGATTGATACAGCTGTAAGGTTGAATTTTCTATAAAAAATATTTTAAAGTTTAAAGTTTTTGAACGGATTCTTGTTACCCTCAAAGTTTTAATAATATGATGGTTGAAATGAAGGATCCACGCACCACTGCCAAAAGCTGTAACGATGCATTGTAAACTGATTTTGCTGGCTGCACATAGGCGGATCCAGGGGGGGGGGGGGGGGGNCAGGAACACACACCCACAGTGGGTCAGGGATCCTTAATCTACTGGATCCCAATAGAGGTTCAGTAGGTCAGGGATCCTTAACCTACTGGATCCCAATAGAGGTTCAGTGGGTTAGGGATCCTTAACCTACTAGATCCCAATAGAGGTTCAGTGGGTCAGGGATCCTTAACCTACTAAATCCCAATAGAGGTTCAGTGAGTCAGGGATCCAAAACCTACTATATCCCAATAGAGGTTCAGTGAGTCAGGGATCCTTAATCTACTGGATCCCAATAGAGGTTCAGTGGGTCAAGGATATTTAACCTACTGGATCCCAAAAGAGGTTCAGTGGGTCAAGGGTCCTTAACCTACTGGATCCCAAAAGAGGTTCAGTGGGTCAGAGATCCTTAACTACTGGATCCCAATAGAGGTTCAGTGGGGTTTTTTACTGGGGAAATATGACAGAGAATTGTCAGTATTAATCTAGCTGCTGAAAGGTGAACAAATTCGTAACAATAGACATTTGGACATTGTAGTGACAAAAACAGTTCACCTGTCACAATCATCCACTGTGTATTGTAAACCCCTTATAGCATATAGTTTTTTATACTTAACCCTTTCACCACTGTAGACGATGATGGACTCCTCCAGATCAATGCATGGTAGAGTCTACTAAAGTTACATAGGGGTGAAAGGGTTTAGAATTCACAAGATGGTTTTAGGATTTCAGCTTTGTATACTGATGTCATGCATGCCCAAAAACTGTATGCATTTTGTATAAACTTGTTAGCAGTTTGCAAAACACTACACAGGCTTTTTGGGTGTATAATAAAACATATAGCAAGAAACCAACAAATCTTGCTTTTGCCTTATAATTTTTTTAAAGGTGATATTGTACACGTGTTGGATACTATATTGACATGAAAACAGACTGTGTTAGGTATTTAAAGTGCAGCAGCATTTAATCAGTGTTCACATAATTCAATGTCTGTAGCAGTCACATAATTCAATGTCTGTAGCAGTCGTGTGATGAAGAAACACATAAAACATTTTAAAATATGTCACACCTTTGAAGAATTATTCAGCTGTTAGATAGCACTCATTGTGATTCCTCTGATATTGAACCCTCAACAAACTATATCTTGCATGTATTTTAACTCATTTGCCCCCGATATTTCATAATGAACTATTCCAACCTTTGAACTGGAAGAATTCAAATATGTCTTCAGGGGTGAACGAGTTAAATGCTTTAAACACCCTATAATTATATACAGGAAACATATTTGCATCTCATCATTAGCATCAATATTATTGCAAAGTTTTCAGAACTGTTGCCATGGTAACAGAAGAAACAAAGAAAAAAGTGGGTATTTTAGGTTCCTTATTGTTTAGAATCCACTATCTCTAAGTTAACCCTTTCACTCCAATGCATCTTTAGTAGACTCTCATGCATTGATCTGGATGAGTTCATTATGGTCTACAGTGGTGAAAGGGTTAACCCCTCTCTGTTATTTAAAACTTGGTGGCTACTGTACAAAGTTTTCATCATGTTGATACAAATATGGTTCAAGGGAGGTAACTGGGGTTAATATTTCTTCACTGTACCGTTATCTTATTTGAAATGCTTCTTCAACATCTGACAGAGGTAAATAACCATTGTCAGCAAAGAACCAAAATCAAAATACTGTAGACAATAAATTCCCCTAATATGTGCGAATTATAATACTGACGCCTATTTATGTTAACATCCGCAGGCTATCTACAACATGCTGGGGAACGCCTTGTGTGGACAGGAGACAGACACCCCAGAGGACCGCACAGAAAAGATATTCGATAAAATGGACGAAAACAGTGACGGTGTATTAAGCAAGAAGGAATTCATCGAAGGATGTATGAAAGATCAATTTTTATATCAAATGCTGACAGCAGATGCAGCCGGAAACCAATAGTTACAAGTTAACTCCGTGTTGGATTACATTACCATGTACAGTTTTATAAATCTCCATATAATATATCTCAACTGTTTCAGCATTTTCATTTTTTTTAAACATTTTGTTTTGTTTTTGTATGAAGAATTATCCTCTTTAACCGAAGTGGCTTGTTACATACAAAAAAGTGGATTTTTTGTACACATACAATTTTATTCATATGTGTGCATTCATTTCATAATTGATATTTGAAGTTATGAATTTATAAGTGTCAAGTCAAACTTTTAAAAACAATTGATTTCCTGATATCTTTAAGATTCTGCTTTTAATTATATAGTCATAAAACTAGAAAATTTGTTAAAAACAATTTTTTTTTTAAATGGAGATATGAAATTCTTATGAAATGTGATATTATATAATAGAATTTTAGCTCATGGCATCAAGATGTATGTATCATATATTGGTAACAGGAAGAAGGTAACGCATGATGAAAAATTACGGAATGGTTATAAAGTGTTGATCATTAGTTTTGTCAAAGAGGAGAGTTTGTCCAGCAGGTGGTGTTTGTGGAGTGAGGTTAACTCATTCACCCCTGAAGACACATTTGAACTCTTCCAATTCAATGGTTGGAATAGTTAATTATGAAATTTCTGGGGTGAATGAGTTAATCAGTTTGTAATTAAGATTTAAAAGTGTGATGTATCACTTTGTGAAGTGTACACATTGTACCCGGTCCAGATATTTTCCTTCATTTAGTCCGACTCGCACAGGAGTGAGGCACCATCAGACATCTGTCCTGTCTTGACTCAGTTTAATTGCTCACCATTAATGCTGGTATTCAGTTTAATTGCTCACCATTAATGCTGGTATCCATCTAAAATAAAGAAAACCCTGAAATGACAGATTTTTTTTTATCAGATCAAGAGATTTTATAAATTAATTAACAGGTGGTAAATTTGGTTATCATCTTCAGTCATCAAAGAACCATTTCTTGTTTACGATTGTTTTAAATGTAATTTTTTATTATGCATCATGTGTACCTTTTTAAATGTTCTTTGCACAAACCATTAGTGTATATATATATTTAGTATAGCTGTAAGTTTATACCCTTGAACATTGCCTATACATGTACACCACACGGGGGTGGCGTTATTTGTCGCGCCACCACTCGTGGCGTTTGTCGTACACAACACGGAGGTGGCGTTATTTGTCGCACAACCACTTTTGGCGTTTGTCGTACACAACACGGAGGTGGCGTTATTTGTCGCGCCACCACTCGTGGCATTTGTCGTTCACCATACAGATGTGGCATTATTTGTCACGCCACCACAAGTGGCGTTTGTCGTCTGAAGGTCCAGGTCAGAAAAACCATAATGAGTTATCACCCTTTGCACGAAGTATCATAACGCACCAGAACAATAGTAGTTCATTCCTCGTATGGACATGTAAAGAGTGAGAGTGAGAAAACGGGTCTGCACACTGCCTTACCCACCTCTTTAACTCATTCACCCCAGAAACTTCATGATGAACTTTTCCAGCCTTTGAATTGGAAGAGTTCAAATGTGTTTCCAGGGGTGAAAGTAGATCTTTTCAATCTTCATTTTACTGAATTCTCCTCAAAAACTACAGAGAAGGAGGGAGAAGATATAATCAACACAATTTATAGGTTTTAAAAATTGGATTTGTCTTGTAGTAATTTTGTAAATTATGTGCGACATTTTACTTTTTTCAAAACATTTGATAAAATAGGATGCCAAAAAATGAATCCTGCAAAAAATACAATCAGTTGTTGGAAAAAAGTGTAATTTTAAAAGCTGTATTTTAACACATTTGCCAAAAACAATGTACACCGTAGAATGGATTAAAAGACCAGTTACAGCACTTGTTTTTTATCAATTTAAATTACTCCACCATACCTGATGTTGTGTGCTCTGCAGATAGGCAAACAATTTGGATGACGATAATTTGTAAAGTTTGGAATGGAAACTTGATCATGCAGTTTGAAAAAAACTTTTCCTTTAGATGATAAATTTTAATTCCTAAGTTCAAAGTAAGGATGATGGGTGCATGTGGATAGGAGACATTGTAAATATATCACACATTTTTTGACAAGTAGTTTTTAACAGAGTTCAAAGGAGCTTGGTGTGTAATAATGACTATATGGTGACTAATTATTACCGAACATTTCATTACGATCGAAAGTCTAGGTAGAGTGATTTGTGTGGGTCTTTGTTAGAGGATCATACACTCATGTTGTCATCAGAGTTCTTCTACACATCCTTGACATTTGCGAGTCCATGTGTGTCATTGTTTTTTTGATAAAAGGTAATCATTTGTTATGGAGAAATGCTTATATGATTTAACCACAGAAAACTGTCCCACATAATGTGTTTACATATCAACTACACTTATATCCTAAGTTGTCAAATTCTACAACACAGCTCACGTGAAATCACATGCATTTTATTTTTTTATAATTTGCAAATAACTTGGTTGACATATTATACCTTTGATAAGCCCGGGAGTCCAGGTCTTTCTTGCCTATAGGGGGGTAGGTATACTATCTGTGATCAGTGTACTACTTATTGTAATACTAAAGGGGGATAACTCATACTAAAAGGTGGATATTTGAAGTCTTACTAAAGGGGGGATAACTCATACTAAAAGGTGGATATTTGAAGTCTTACTAAAGGGGGGATAACTCATACTAAAAGGTGGATATTTGAAGTCTTACTAAAGGGGGGGGGGGGGAGTATTACTAAAGAATGGAGATCTTTGTATGTTAACTTAAAATGTGAATACCTATTTACTTAAAGTAAAGGTTGGAAATCTGTACTCTTACTAAGGTTTAAATTCTTATTAATGGGTGTAAAATACTAAAGTGTGGATAAAGTGGATATCTTTCATGAATGTGTGGATATCTCTTATTAAATTTTGGATATCGCTTACTATATGGTGAATATTTCTAACTAAAGGTTCAACATCTGTGTGTTCTAGAACTTATTTAAGTGTGAATTTTCATATACTCAACGTCAATTAAAGGTCCTAGTCCTGTGTCCCTCAATCTGTTTAATGTAAGAGGGGTGGGCTTATCAGTGGACATGGGCTTATCACTGGTAATAATGGTAGTCGACTGCTACTTAAGTTCCCAGTTTTGTTTTTAGAGAATATGGTTGTATATATAATGATGGAATACTTCTAACTGAGAGGATGAGTCTAACAAGCTGTATATATATATATCTGTGTTTCTATGTATCACACAATAATTTGTACATAAACACACCATGCTTTTCTCCTCATCATAATCAAATTTAAACATGCAATGTATTTGTAAATGAAATTTTTAAAAATGTTCAGAACAATGTTTTGTTTTTTATTTAAGTTTCACTCGAGGATAGAAATAAACATCACGACGTTTCCTAGAGTTCTCTCCCTCTCTCGTAGTAATAATTGTATAGCCTACCATACGTCGGCGCAAACAGCTTATCACTTCGACAGGATCTACTGTCATAACTGAAACTGACAGCTGTATATACAACAACAACAAATTATATTACAAACTGAAAAGGAAACGGATATTAAAGGTTTCAAAGTGGGTTCAACTTTTTATTCATCAAAGGCCAAATATTTGTTATGGCTTGAAATGTGCCCTTCCGAGTTGCATGAAAATCATAAATAAGGTGTCAAGCTGATCTGAATTTTTAAAGGAGTAAACAATTCCGTCTCTAAGGTTTTACTCATCAATACTTTAAGCTAAGTTTGGCGGTACGTCACTGTACCCAAAACAGGACACTTTTAGATACATATCAGTGTAATTTATACCATATAATCAATTCCACAAATGTTTGTTCGTTTTTCATTAACAGATACCATCCACTTTTCTATTACAAGTCCGCTAACTGGTTTTATGAATAAAATACCAGCAGGGTCAAACAGGCCCTAGAATGAGTGTAACTGTATCCTGAAATGGACATTTTGGTATTATTAGCAAATATTGGGGGGGATAAATGGTAAATATCAATAAAATATTATACATGGTTCAGATATTTTAGAGTCAGAGGAGGTTCGGAATAAATTTTTCTAAATACCTCTAAAGATGATATCGAAATATATAGCATTACATGGCACGTAATTTAAGAAAAAATATTTTCATAATTATTCTAACCTTTTAACTGTTTATGTAACCATAATCAGCGGCCAATAAAGCTTACATACAGTTTGATTGAGAAAAAATATTATCAAGTGAAAATTGCTTACATAAAAATACAAGTGTCCTGTTTTGGAGTACAATGATGGTAGGCTGTCCTCATCAGCTATGATGTTGTACTCCTCAGGAGGCTGTACTCATTAGATAGGAGGCTGTACTCATCTAGCAGGCTGTACTCAGGAGGCTGTACTCGTCAGCTATAAGGCTGAACTCATCATTTAGCAGGCTGTACTCAGGAGGCTGTACTCATCAGCTATAAGGCTGAACTCATCATCTAGCAGGCTGTACTCAGGAGGCTGTACTCATCAGCTATAAGGCTGAACTCATCATCTAGCAGGCTGTACTCAGGAGGCTGTACTCATCAGCTATAAGGCTGAACTCATCATCTAGCAGGCTGTACTCAGGAGGCTGTACTCATCAGCTATAAGGCTGAACTCATCATCTAGCAGGCTGTACTCAGGAGGCTGTACTCATCAGCTATAAGGCTGAACTCATCATCTAGCAGGCTGTACTCAGGAGGCTGTACTCATCAGCTATAAGGCTGAACTCATCATCTAGCAGGCTGTACTCAGGAGGCTGTACTCATCAGCTATAAGGCTGAACTCATCATCTAGCAGGCTGTACTCAGGAGGCTGTACTAATCAGCTAGGAGTCCATACTCCTCAGGAGGTTGTACTCATCAGCTAGGAGGCTGTACTCCTCAGCTATAAGGCTGAACTCATCATCTAGCAGGATGTACTCAGGAGGCTGTACTCTTCAGCTTGTAAGCTGTACTCCCCAGTTAGGAGGATGTATTCCCCAATAAGGAGGCTGTACTCATCAGCTGGACTGTACTCATCAGGAATTCCCTTTACTAGTTCGGACTTGTTAGTGTACTTGTTGAGCAGTACTTGACAACTGTTTAAGATTTACCTATCACTCCTCAGTGTTCCAAATTTCGTATCATATCAACACTAATGGCTTCATGTGAAACTTACTAGAAAACAAAACTGTTTTAACCCGTACATTTATGTATATATATAGCTCTCTGTTTGAAATGTGTTGATGAAGAGTTCATTATGTGCCATCATAACAACTCTGTACACCCGTTTGTACATTAGTTAGATACAATTTTGTGTTTAAGGGGAAGTAACTCATGTATGCTCAATCCTCAGCTCAGTTGAGTTACCATTGTATATTGTTTTATCTTAAGATGGGTTTTACTACATTCCGACAGAAAATGAAATCCCATACATCTGCATGTATTGACCCCCTTCCCTTTGTCTGTATATCATTCCTGTATGTGTAGTTGACATCAAATTTATAGCATAAATACATGGCACATAAGAATTATACAGTTCGAGAGGCGGAAATAGAACTACAGTTGATCTAAGCAGTACTAAAACAAGCATTTTGTACGAATTTTTATTATAAACATTAAATCTACATAGAAATAGATTATTAGCATCGAGTTTATTGAACTGTTTTAAATATAGGTCAGTTAATTTTTCGTTTTTGTTACCATAGTCATAAACTAATTACATGTTGGTGGTAGCTCATATTTAGTTTGGCTGATGCATCTCTAATAAGGGGTTTGTATTTTCCTGGCTCGATCCAAGTTCCTTTTTGATAAAGCATTAGATAAGCTCAAAATTTTGTCAACAATTGAAGGAAATTGAGTCATAATTATGACTTAGCAATGGTGCATCATCACGAGC